GACAACAAGCCGGTCTAGCGCGCACTTTGGTGTCGGTCGATAATTATGTCTGCTACCTTTCCGAAACTCAACAGCAAGTTTCCCAGCGCTGTGCTTACTCCGACACCCTCACTGACTACGGACCCACATATCACTAGAGTCATTCTGGAGACCCAGAAGCAGTCTCAGCAGGTTTGGTTTGGTGTAGGTATAGCGCCGTGGCAAGGCCAAGACCGCACTGCTGAACTGGTTCCTGATTAACAGCCCACTGTGCAACTCGGCTTCGGAGTTCATGTGGAATCAGCAGTCATCGCGGGGAGAGACGCGACTGGTTTGTAATTTCCGCTTACGCTTCAAATGACTGAAGTAGTGGCTCGGTCAAGGATGACATTTATCAAGGGCTTCACAGCTTCTGAGTAACGCTAACAAATCGGATTGGTAGCTTACCTATGCGGCTTGAAATCTAATTGTGACGAACCAAATCGAATCATACCCAAATCTGTCTACTCATTAGAAATCGGATGTCGTTGGGGATTTCAATGCACCGATTAGCCATCAGTTACCATACGAAGGTCCCCTTGGTAGTCACCAAGCGCTCCATGATGACTGCACAGACGAGAGAGTTCCCACAATGGAACGAGACAACCACGTATTTCTCTCGAGGGTCAACTTCAGGTATACCAAGAAACCTTCCGCAACTTGGCGTCCCACTTCGCCAACACAAGCGTGGTCTCAAATTGATCACATTGTAATCAGTTTCAGATGGTGGCGCAGCGTACGAGACTGCAGCTTAGTTGTTCCACCTTGATTGACTCAGATCATGCGGTCTGCGCGAAAAACTGCATGTGTTTTGGGGTACACCAGAAAAAACCAAGCACCACAAGATTGATGTGAACAGATTTCTCACTCCACTGGAATTACCAATCTTCACTGGCAGGCGCAGTCAGTTGCTGTCCACCGCAAGAGATTGAGCAACACTGGCCTTGTAGACTGAAGGCAAAGGTCACCACCAGACAATCAACCTGCAGCCTGGCCCGATGCCCCTTAAAGGCTTGGATCACTGCACGCTCACTGGAGCTGTTCGACCCCCGCAAAGATATCCAGGAAGAACCAGATTTTAATGAGCGGTGCCGCTCTGCCAACCGGCAGCTCAAGCAAAACGTGCGCAAAGATAACGAGGAGTGGTGGCTGGAGCGTGCTTTGGAGGTAAAGACCACTGCCCTCACTGGCAAAACCCGCAAGCTTTTCCAACACATTTGGTCCAATAACCTCAGGGAGCCTGGCGTCAGTGAGGACATTTGCGAGGCGAATCGGTCTCTGATAACTAACCAACAGAGGCGCTGGACCGATGATTTTCTTTCATGGTTCAATTGGCCTCCGCCGTCTATCCGTGCGCACAGTATATCCAGTTGCCTAAACTCGCTCGTCCCATTTAATGCACCCAGAGAAGCGGAAGTCTTCCTCGAGATTCGACAATTGTAGTGATTCAAGGCTGCCGACTCATGTTTGCTAAGGGCAGCTAGCTTTTACGTTAGGTCCACCTTCTCTCCCTCGTATTATTCTTCGTTCCTTAGGTTAAAATGATTGTACGGCAGGGAATTATCAGTTCAAATGGCTGATGTACTGCTGTTGATGCCGCCACAGACGGAATTCTTCGAGAACTGTTCACCTAAGGCGGTGTGCTAATCACTGACTAGCTGGTCTCGCCGTTCTCTAAAATCTGGCATGAAGGAACATTGCCTTCCTCTTTAAGTCGAATCAGTTATTGTCCCCATTTTAAAGAATGATCACACTTCATCGAAAGATTAGTCTCATTTCGGTGACCTCCAAGTTATTGGCATCCATTCTGCTTTGTAGACTGTCATCAATACATGTACCATACTACCCTGAAAACAACAAATTGGCTTCCGTCCTGGGCGTGGATGCATGGATCAAATCATCACATTTACTGCAGGCCCACTATCGTCACATTGCACGACAACTGCACTGCATTTGACTTGATTGTTCGACTCGTTATATGGCGTTGCTCGCTAAAGACCGGGGTGCCCGGATAGTATACAACTATCCTACGCGCACTTTGCCTTCATATATTTGACATAGTGTGGGTCTACGGTAAGCACTCCTCAGCGTTCGCTGTCAATAGCGGTGTTCGACAGGGCTGCCCTATATCCCCGTTCCTCTTCAACTGTGTAATGGAGGATGTCCTGTCGAAAGTACTAGGTTCCCAAACCTTTGGCATAGAGCCTCTACCGGGTGAGCGTGCGACCGACTGACTATGCTAATTGTGATGGGAGTATACACTCGAACGTGCCCCATGCTGAGGCTGATGTTGCATTCTTGATGCTTCTTCACCGCAGTTGGGCTAAACCAACTTACACCTAAACTAGGTCTCTTTAAGCTGGATAAATTACATTCCGCTTTATTTAGTTTGTTCTGCCACCCTGAATAATGTTCTATTAACTGGCCACGTTGCTTACACTAATTGCGCTTATCTTCGGTAATTTTGTTGCGTTTGTAGCATTTTAAGTAACTTGTGGACATTTCTTACTTATCACGGATTTGTTGTTAACCAAATTTCTTCATATGGTAATTTAGCGAAGAGTTATGCCATCGTATCTGTATGCATTATTGGATTTATTTTATTTCAGCTTGTCGTTTAAAGTGAACGGCTGTTGTTTGATATCCCTGGTATGGTTGCGCTTGATGTGTATGTTGACAAGGTGCCTACCTGCCTATTACCCACTACATCGTTCATACTGGCTCCAGGAGACAGTTGGTCGTTGCTGGAGGGGACGGGGTGCACGTTACTTGTGGCCGTGCTAGGCTCAAAGAGCGGTTCCATGCACTCAGTGTGGAGCGGATTACGGTCCAGCCACCGCCTTGTGTGTAGTTGATTCCCCAAATACAGCGTGCTTGTGTTTGCCTGTGAAGGAGCGTGGGCCGGCTCCGTTGATGAAACGTGGTTCCCATCCGCATGCCTCCCGGTCTTCTTCGGGTTTACACTGGATATGGGGTATGTGGTTGGTGCAGCGCAAGCCATCCATGGTCCCTCTGTAGGCGCAGGCGTCCTGTGGCTGGCCACAGTGACAGGCAAATCCGAAACGGGATGCCGCCAACCATACACTCGAATGAACGTGCGGTGCCAGCCCAGCAAGGAAGCCGTTAGGCTGCCGCAAGGAAAGGCGGCAGCTGATTGGACGTTCACACGTTTCTCGCATGCACGCTGATTGGCCAACAGTCGGACGCATTGGAGTGAGTTTGTTTGACTGAATCAAAGGAAAAATGTCATGCATTAACAAAGGTCGTTAATTATGGATCCAACTAGCTGTATATACCGATATGTTTCACTCGCACACTGCCTGCGTTTTGGCCTGGTCCTGTTGTTTGCTGAATATACGTTTTTGTCCCTGAAGGACCGACTTTTTACACTAATGATATCGCCTTACTTGGTGACAGTCCACAGCGAATGCAACTCATTTCAGAAAACTTGGTAGACGAGCAGTTAATATATATATGGTGATACACAACGTTTCGCTTTTGATACAAAAGCTTCATCCTGGGAAGTGAATTAGCTTAACATTGGCATTTTATAACGATCATGGCAGTGCATCGATGAAAGGTCACAAAGGTCGAAGGTCACTAGCCTCATGTGTACACTCGAAAATGTCGAGGCTATCATGAAGGGATTACGATCCGCCAAACAAAGGCTGAATGCTGAGGTTATAGGAATAACCAAGGCTAACAACTGCGTGAATAGAATAGATGGAGTAGGGCTGTCTCGTGCCTGGCGTCCAGTCTTAATCCGGCCATGTTGATAAGCATGGGTGGATGGATCCCAAATCAGAATGGACTATCAACACTCCTTCCACCAAATTCCGAAGTACTAAAGACAAGTTACATCAGTAACCAACTTCCTTGAAACGGACCACTTAAGATTGCTGACTACACATGTAACTATCTTCGAACCAGTAGTTTCTGTTACCCATCTGACCCTGACTGAGACAAACCACAGTGTACACACGAGCCTAGTGACCTTTGACCGATGTAATGCTTCATCGATGCACTGCAAATTGATTAGTCTCCGTATGTAGCTTAGCCATGATTGTTATAAAATGCAAATGTTAAGCTAATTCACTTCGCCTGATGAAGCTTTTATGCCAGAAGCGAAAGGCTGTGCATCACCATAAATATATTAACCGGTCGTCAACCAAGTTTTCTGAAATGATGACTTCCCGATCGGTTCCAAATATGTGCCAAGATATCGAGCGTGTGACTCTTTCTGAACCGTTTGGTGGTAGAAGCATCTAGGTATGGCATGAGCTTCTCACTCTCGAATTGCAAAGTTGTTCTCTAGGATTGGTCCACACGTGCTTCTGTGCTCACCCATAAAAGTGCACAGTTTGAACAGGTAGATAGTTTCGTCTGTCATAAAGAGCTGTGTTTATGCTGGTGACATTATCAGCAAGACGTTTCTCTTTACATCGCCAAAGCTCGGTCAGAATTCGTTCATCTGGGACACTGGTACCATCATCTAGACGTCTCCATCCCGATAAACGTTAACGTTTACAGTGTCTCTGTTGGTTCGGTGTTGCATAGGAGCGAGCGCTGGCCAATTCGCTTGGGGAACGTGCGCCATCTTTCCGTTTTCGATAACAGTTGTTCCAGGAGCATTGTTCAAGTATGTTAGCAACATCGAGTTCACAGTGACGCGCTCGACATCACGTCCTGGGAAATGTGAGTATTCCTCTCAAGAAGCTGATTTTGCTGCGCCAGTGCTTCAAAGAGTTAAAATGTCAAAAATTGGCATCTCAAAAATAGAAAAAATGCCCCCTACTATATTTTATCAAATTGTACTTTCCTTTGACTTCCACAGCTTTTTCGACGGCTGCATGTCCAGTTCGCAAACTGTTGTGTATATATGTAATATACCGACAATAAAATGTGGAGTGAGACACGGTTTCTCCTTGTGGATATAATAGGGAAGAAAGATAAACAAGCGACTGAAGTGATCGTCGGCCAACCTTGCAATCTTAGTCCTCTTCTATCAACGCGTCGTGAGATCCAAATGCCGGATCACTGTTCAAATGAGATGTTGGCGAGCCACTGTGGTCGTCCATACTATCTTGCGTCAGCGCCTGAGTATCCTCTGAATCAGTAACACCTTGCTGGTGCACTGAGTTCCCGGGAGTTTGACCGTTTCCAGATGCAGATTCCAGCGACCCACCGAAGTTAAGAGTGTCTAATTTTACAGTAGCTTGTGGGTTGTTTTGTAACTCTCCTCCTTCAAGCCGAGCCGAAGAACTGTGTTGTTTTCTGGCTAGGTGACCTCGAAAGCTTGCTTGTATTTTGGCCGCCGCTTTGTTCTCATCGTCCGACACGCCACTCAAACGGTGTGTAAACGACAGCTGCGCGAAGTCTTCTCTTCCTTCGTGAGTTGCACATTCTGACAACAGGCGGTTTGAGGTGGGCGGCTGGTCAGGGTGTGGCTCGGCGAAGGCTGCTGCGCAAGTTTCCTGGTTGGAAGATACTCGTGAAACGTGTTTCACGGGGACGGAGGATGTAACGGAATTGGCGGATACCTAGCAGGGCATCAGAGAGATATTATGTGAATGAGGTCTACGTAGTGACATCATGGATAAGTAATCATGTGAGGATGGTAACAGGCATGAATAGTGTTTAAAAGTGAAATGCCGGGATGAAACGCCAGGTCTGACAAAGACGCTGATTAAGTATGAACAGTAGTCTAGAACAGCTCTACTTTAGCGTTAGTTTGGTAGCGAATTTCCATGCGCACACTAAACGAGAAATGAAAACCGCATCAATGGTAGCTCAGGTGAGTTGATCAACTACGATTCTCACGTGGAAATGCGGGAATTCAGTCGCCCTGAGTCACAAAACTAAAACATCAATCGAATTAATAAATATTCATAAGGAATACATAAGAAGTAGGATGACCAGATGGAATAATTAAGAGCCAGAAACAACAGAACGAATGTTGGAACGCAACTGACTTCGGGACTGCATTCGATCCGATGGTGTCCAATCAATGGCGGAATCGATCCCCAGGACACCTTCCAGAAGGACGACACTCACCAGCTCTGTAAAGCCGTTCGGAGAGGTTTTTCATGTTGCTTCACTTAGTAGATAACTAACATCCTGTAGTTAATGCAAACTGAAACAGCCAGTTTGCAGGCATCGTCTAGCCAGTGTACGTGAACGATCCCACCAGATGTAAACAACAATTCGCAGAAACCAGATGCCATACACAGTATCCAGATCCCTGCGTAATCGTTGAGGGTTTCACGGTAGCGGAACATCAATACAAGGTATTACTACGTGTGACCCATGCTTTCACAATGGTCGCACTACAACGCTGTAATCCGTTCTCCAAACAAATGAGATCATGTCCAACTACCTCTATTACCGAGTGAATCTTCGAAAAACCGAAACAGCATTAGCAATACCTTTATTAACCGAGTAGATGGCGCGATCGGTATGAGAGACATAGGTATAAAGATAAGTAAACCGATCGAAAATTTGAGCGTTGTTCTATGGTTGTAAAAACTAGTGGCGAGTCCTGCAACAGCGCCTGCACATTGAATGCACACAACTATGCCGATGAGGTCGAAGCCGCCGCTCCAACAACACAGCAGTTATTACACAGAAAAAGAAAAACCTGAAGGGAAGTATGCCTTCCGAGAGATCACTTTCGGGAGAAGCGTAATAAGAGCATGGAATCAGGATCAATTCAAGTGCAAGGTTAAAGAGACGAGGAGAGGAAGAGCAAATGTGACAGGATCCACCGGTCGCAGTGAATTATGAGAGACAATCTCACAGACTCCTCCACGATTCCAATTATTTGAGCCCCGTAATCTGAGGAATATCGAAAGTGTCGGGTAAATTCAGCGTGTTCGCAGTGATGACGTACACAGGTGAGTATTAGACAGTTCTTTAGAGCAACAAATGACATGGGGCGAGCTACATCGGCTTGAGCATGTCATCATCACTATCATAACCATAAGTGTCAACATCAGCATCATCAAAAGCAGAAAGTCAACCATTTGAATCGATGCTTCACTGCCAAACAACCGCAATGACCTAGGTAATGAAGGAGAATAACAAGGAGAAAAGGGAACCTAGCGTAAAGCTATATTGCCCTAAGCAAAAATTCACGGCCAAGACAAGTACACCTTGTCAACAGCATACGGTCTCAAATACCAGTCTATCGTGCCAAGATAAGGCAGTATCGGCGAGACAGACTCTTTGTGGCTTTCATTGCTGTGCGTCATAACAAGCCACTACTCCTCAGATAACTTAGCACCGAACATACTTTAAACAGGTAGTCTAAGTAAGAAATGACAGCAAATGCGTCACTGGTGAAGACGGCCAGACATGTCCTGTAACGTCTCGAGCCAAGCGTAAAGTGGGCAACGTGGACTCCAGCCTGGGATGCGAGACGGAACAACAGCACTCAACTGATCAGAAAGTAGCTACATTTACCACTGCTGTTAACTTTTGTCCACCTTGAGATTTGCGCCACCCTACATCTGGTAAACAAGATAACACCCTCCTCAGTAAGAGGTGACCGGAAATATGTGGCACGTGCCCAAGTCAACGAAACTTTTCAGTGCTATTTGTTGTTATGAAGAAGTAGCCTGATTCTCACTGCTTAGTACTCGCCTACGCAGGTACTCGTTGCGGATATGCTCGTGTCATCCGACACCAGAACTGCTCCGTAGGTAGCGATGCTAAGACTTTAAGTTGCCTCAGATCCTCACAAAGAAAACGCCAAGTCTCACACCCATAGAGTAAGACGGCCCACACTAGGGCCAAATAAACGTGGCATTTCAGACTGAAGGGAACCCATATTGACGCCGCAGATATCATAGATTCAAGAAGACAGTTCTGGCTTTTGCAATACGTGAACTGAGTTCAGTTTCTATGCGCCCATCGTTGCTGATGCAGCTGCCAAGGTAAGTGGAATGAGCAACTAGCACGACTTTCTCTCTATCAAGAGTCAAGGGATCATCAAGTGACAGGTGGTCCTGCAAAAACGCTCTGCACTTTGAAGATGCGAAGCGCATGTCAAATGATGGAATCGTTCTAGTTAGTCTATTCACAGTTGACTGGGCCACGCCAACATTGATAAACAGCATGACAATATCGTACGCATAATCAAAATCACTTAGTTTTCCGCCAGGGAGCAGTTCATGACTGTGTCTACGACGAAGTTGAGCACAATGCAAAAATTAGGCAATCCCGACGAACGCCATTTGTTGTCAGAAAGATATCCGACAAGTCACTGCACACCGTAAACAGACCCGTGGTGTTCGAGTACAAAGCATGTGAAATGTCCATATATTTCATTGAAACACATTTCAGCACAAGTATTTTGAATAGAATTTATCCGTCGAGAATCGAACGCGCTCTTGAAGTCGGGGAACGCAGTCACTGTCCGTTTGTGATACATGTGACGCTGTTCTAGCACCTGCCACGCAGTGATTACATGTTCGACGCAGCCCCGTACTGGGAGGAAACCTGTTTGCTCATTTCTAACCCAGGATCCTTGTTCCGCAATCAATGGGAATGGTCTTCTTGCACAATGCCACTACATTGGATTCGCTCAAGTTAGCTAGGATGGTCTCTTCCTTCCAGACCATTTTAAACGCGGAGAGGGTCAGTGCTTTGCAGAGGATAAGACCAGAATCAATAAATAGTGCGGGTTCACTGGAATCCGGACCAACAGCTCAAAAACGTTTGAGGGTTGTGATCGCGTTTCGGATATGGGCTACCGATGGACTTCTAAACTAAGCGGTCATGGCTCAGTCTGCACCGCCGGAGCAGGAAGGGGTCCGCGAGTTGGGGGCCAACTGTATTGCTGTCAAGTGCTCCACACATCGAGCCATATAGCGGTTCTTATTGCGAATCATAGCACCCAGGCTAACTCGAAGTGTCTCACTGACGATTGGTTTCCTGGGACCAGTATGCCAGGTCAGTCGGAAGAGTTTGCGGTAATTGTCAACTGCTTCCGCCTCCCCAATGTCTTGAGCCCTACTGCTCCACCAGGGTTCCTTGTCAGTAGGCAGGCTCCGTCTCAGCTTGCACCTAATAATCCGTCTGGTTACAGTGTCCTTTGAGCCATTCGGGAAATTGCTGCTGGATTCCAACTGGTTCATCGACCTATCGGATATCCACTGATTGGTGCGGAGAGGACTAATAGTGGCGCAGGCAATGGCTCCCACATCATGCATGGCGGCCGGGATGAAATCCCACTGAAACAGTGATATTAATGCGAGAGAGCGACAGATCGGTAGACAGAGCATCCTAGTACGCTTGCTTGACGGAAGGATAGGATATATCAGTTGCCAACCGAGGAAAGTGCTGGTACACCTCCTGGTAAAGTTCATAGGAAAATGGCATTGTTCGAAAGCGCATATATATATATATCAGTGTAAGGAGTAGAAGTGAAGCCGTTGGGAAACCATGCTAGGCCAGGGTAATACAATTCTGGCAAAAATGGAATGAAGCGAACGCTTGCTACTCACAAGCCGAGCTATTATTTTTGTCACTCTCAGCGTTTTAACCAGTAAACCTGTGATTAGAGACAATTTTGATCACAGTGCTTAGAATGATTGTGGTTGTGGGCCATTAATTCAAGTATATCAAGCTAATTCCATGTATGATCCTACGGAATCCATCCAGGAGAACGTGAGTGTCAAAAGAGGGCAGGATATAACGTCACCGATTTCATGTGAAGTCGCCGAGTGGAAGGCTGATCAATATGCGGTCGCCCTCAGCCCGGTCATTCACTAACAAATAGAGCGCGGCGCGGCAAATGCCCAGGCGCTAAACGTAGGACGTGATCGGCTCATCTCAAGTAGGGCAGCGAAAGTACCTGAATGGAAAAGTCGCACTCCCCTTAACGCGACGTCTAACATGGTCACAGTGAACTCGGTGTTGCCACCGGACACATGCACAGTCAGGAACAAAACCCGGCGTTAATTCTGCAGATCCTCACCAAGTAGAGCCATACCATCGTGCATTCGTCTTGTAGGTCTTAGCTAAATGTTAGGATAACTAGAGATCTCGACAGGACGTCCACAATTAAACAGTTGAAGAGGAACGGGGATATAGGGCAGCCCTGTCGAACACCGCTATTGACAGCGAACGCTGAGGAATGCTTACCGTAGACCCACACTATGTCAAATATATGAAGACAAAGTGCGCGTAGGATAGTTGTATACTATCCGGGCACCCCGTTCTTTAGCGAGCAACGCCATATAGCGAGTCGAACAATCAAGTCAAATGCAGTGCAGTTGTCGTGGAATGCGACGATAGTAGGCCTGCAGTACATGTGGTGGTGTTCGAGGAGTTAGGAGAGCGTGATGATTTGATCCATGCATCCACGCCCAGGACGCCAGTTTGTAGTTATCAAGGTAGTATGGTACATGTATTGATGGCAGTCTACAAAGCAGAATGGATGCCAATAACTTGGAGATCACCGAGGTGAGACTAATCTTTCGATGAAGTGTGAGCGTCTTTCTTGAAAATGGGAACAATAATTGATTCGCCGCAAAGA